AGCGAATTTTTCTAATACCTGTATTATTTCAGCAGTTGGCCTTAATCTCATCTCTTTTTCTTGTTATTGAATAGACACGTTAACTCAAAGAATGCTTATTACTATGGAGATTTCTAAATTGCTAGATCTGTGGAGCCTACTTAACCTAATGTAAAAGGTCCTTTTTTTTCTTTCCACTTTTCTCATTACTGAAGGAGAACATTTTGGCCCAAACAATGTCTGTATACATAAGCACAGATTTATTAAGTTTAGAAGATTTGTACTGTTGTTTCACAAAATGTTGTCAATTTGCGGTATGATTTTTTTTATGATGAATGGCTTTCCCGAGCCAAAAAGCTAATGACATCCACGGCTTCCATGCCTCGCACACACATGCGGTCCAAAAGGCCACAGATAATTTCTGCCGAATCAAGACCATAAAGAGAGAATTTATAATCAGCTTTAATGTATTTGGGAGCTAAAGTACCTTAGTCCCTCATCAAAGGGAATGATAAAAAGCAGAATTAATACAGCTAGACTTTAATTATTTCTGAGTGCATAATTACTCTTTAGCTAACTGGACAGGAGGTATGTTATTTCTCTTATTTTGAGCAAAGGAAAGCCATCTGCAAACATACAGTAGTCAAGTATTGAGATTTTTAAAATGCATCATCTATTTCCTTAGCATTGATTGCAATACAAATAGAATAAATATTTGAATAATACTTTAAATAATGTAAGAACTATTTTTAAATTAAATGAGTAGAGAGTTTGCTAGGAGTTCCTCCTGTATGCAGCATTCCTTTAGCTTTTGTAGCAAGACTGTTCATTGCCTTTAGGAGACATAAACTGCAGTAATCGCTTCTTCCCCTTTTTAAACTGACTTAGGGGTCTACTTTTCCATTAGCATTAATGAGAGTTATGGGTACGCAGCAACATGAGACTAAATGAGACTAAACCTTAGAGAGAGTCTTGATAAGTAAATCATTTTTGTATCAGCATTTTAGAAGCTTTAGTATCCTTTTCCCCCCTCATTATTTATGGTACAAGATTACGTTGTTGATATTTAATATTTATTACATAAACTGTAGCTAAAATTTAGGCCAGCACAATAAAGCAGCATATCTATTGGAAGGCTTATGTCTTAAGCATAGTAAAACGGTCTTTTTTTTTTTAATGGATGCCCATTTGGGGAAGTGAAATGCTTGAAGAGGAGGAATAAGTGGGCCTTCACAAAAGGTGAAGAGAAGCTACAGTGGAACAACAGTGGAAAGTAATTGTGGGAGAGGGACTTTTGGCAATCAATTCTGTAAAATGTATACTCTCTTTTGTTTTATTGGCTCCTAGTCCATCTTGTCTTTATATCAGTATTTTTATAATTAGTTTCTGTTACTTAAAAAAAAAAAAAAATTAAAATGATGGAAGAACCCTAAAGAATCATCCACTGAATAAACAGTCAGGGCTAAAGAAATAAATCTAGTTGAAGGATACATTTAATTTACAAAATCATAAACTTTCTGTAGAATATTAATTCAAACCTGCAGAAAATAACTGAAGATTATACACTTACTAAGCAATTTCGTCCCTGATTTTTACTTGACTATTGCTGTTACATTTTGTAGAATCTTCCCATAAGATTTTATTTTGTTTATCTGGTAGTGATTTTGGCATGTTTTTCTGTGTAAGAACTCAAGACGTCAGCCTTTCTTTATGATCATACTGACACAACGATGCTGTTACTCAATGTAGTCTGTTATTTGGAGAATCAGAAGCAAAAGCCATTTCTTACTGATTTTAGAATGAGAATTACTGCTGAAATGGGTGGAAGTCTAATCCAGAACTTCTCTGAATACTACTTTCATGATTTCAGAAAATTTCTCCAGCAGCCATACATGAAAAGGGCAATACCGAACAGACAAGCTCAGAGCTCTGCTTCCTCTTCGAGGATTCAGGATTGAACCACTTGGTGTTGCTGTATGCCATTGTAGGCAGCCATGTGCACAATGGGTCTTGAGCTGATGTTGCTTTTAGGGATTGCAGAGCAATTCAGTAATACAAATTAAGTTTCACAGCATCCCTGTGTGTATAGATAAAATACAGATAGTAGGTAAGTAGTTTCACACCTGGTGCATGAGGACCAAACTCTGCTTTGGTTTCTAGACTTCAGATAGCATTGTAACTCCAGGAAACAGAAAACCAATCTCAAGTGTTTTGGTCTGTGTTTCTCTAAGCTAGCTATTGCTGAGATGTAATGAATGTGGTCTGTTATATTTGCAGACCGAAGCAAACTTGTGGCAGAAATCACATCTTATTTCTTTCTCAACAGAATACTGTTCTGGTGCCTGGTGGGTCTGCCACATGTCTCCATCAGGGATGTGGCAAGCAGAGCCCCTGTATTGTGAAATAGATATATAGGTGTATTAGAAAACATGTTTAATCAATGGCACCTTAAAAATAGGCCAGCCCCTTTGCAAAAGGAATTGTCAAGCATTGGAACACGCTGCCCAGGGAAGTGGTTGAGTCACCATCCCTGGAGGTATTTAAAAGATGCGTAGACGTGGCACTTAGGGACGTGGTTTAGCGGTGGACTTGGCAGTGCTAGGTTAACGGTTGGACTCGATCTTAATGGTCTTTTCCAACCTAAACTATTCTGTGATTATCAGGAAGGTGGTCTGATTTTTTTATGGTTTTCAGAGAAACTCATAACTATATAAATACTAAAATTATCCAGGTTATTTTTATTAGTGAGCCCATTATGCTTCACCATATTCTAAAATCAGAGATGGTATGAGACCAGTCATTTACGTTGGGGTATTTGATGCACTACGTAACTGCTGTTGAGATCTGGAACCAGGACCTACACAAAATACCTCCTAAAGGCCAGCTCTTAAAGAGAAAGTAACGTTCATTGTCTTGGTATTATCCAGAAAAGGAATTGCCCTTCTCTGTGCAAGTTATTTGGAGAAATGTGTGCTGTTTGCCTTTCCAGATGCTACTTTGTTCCTTTCTGTTCACTTTAAAAAATTTAAAAGATAGCAAGAAGCCAGTAAAAATGTGTACGTATATCTATCTATCTATCTTTGTCTGTGTCTGGCTCTCAGACTTATCCACTTAGCTCTGTTAAGTGCATAGCCCTTAAAATTCTTAAGTACATTCTTCCTTTTCGCCGTGCTGAAAACCCACCATGAAATTATTATTATTCTTTGCATACATCTTTTACTTTTCTAGTTTTATTCTTTTAGAAGTAAAATTGCTATAGTATGAGAATGATGGGCAGCAAAACATTTGAATAGGATCATGTTATCTAGATACCATATGTTGTAAAGATTATATTCAGGGCTTGTATTAGGAAAAGCTGTTGCATCACTAAGGCTCTGTATTAAACAGAGTGATTGTTGCAGGTGTGACTATAAAAATGCTCGTGTTTAATTTACGATATATTATTCTAGTGTTCTGTATTTAGAAGGAGTTTAAAACTATTCTCTTGATTGATGCAGTAATTAAGGTATTCAGCTTTGGTTTTCAATAATATGGTCCAGTTACTACATTCACAGTTAAAATCTCATGGTACTTCATGGGTTGTTTCTGTTTCTCAAATCCATGCACCTGGTACAAACATTTTATGAATTTTTTTTTTTTTATTGCATCACTCAAATACATGGTATTTTGCCTATAAACAACAGGTTTAATGCTGAATGACTAATATCCTGTAAAATAACAGAGCTGGAGAGAACTTTTTAAATACAAATGTTTCAATACTCCATAGTGCTTAGAATTAATGCATGTCTCTTGCCTACATCTACTGCAAATATCAACACATACTGTTCATCTCTTTTTTGTTGTTGTTTTTGTCTATTGCTATTTTATGCATGAGAAAGTTCTTGTTTTCTACTCTGCTTGGCTGGCTTTTTCTTTTTTTGTTACTTAGTCCTGTGTTAGTACTGATTGCTTTTTTGCATGCAAATTACAGAATGTCATGGAAATGAGAGAGCTCTGAAAAAAAAGGAAAGATAATGCTGAGTTCCAACTGTCTTTTGTTTGTGCGTAAGTGTGTAAAATATATGACGTGGAAATATTTTCAGAATGGCCTTTGACTTTCCTTCTGGTGTATATTTTCATTACCGAGTAAAGGAGTGGGTATTTTTCCCATTGGAAAATACGATGAATCTATTAATACTTAATAATACAGGTACTGGGCATGAAAGAATTTTGTCTTGCCATCCATTTATAGAAATAAGGAATTGTGATATTGTGTGTCTTGCCCAAGCTAAAAACCTCAATTCCATATTCAATGCAACTTTTGTATACTGTGTGTGAAAACCTGGCCCCATTGAAATCAATAGCAAAAATAATTGTCTTCACTTGGTCTAGGATTTCACTCTGGTTTCTAGTTTACATATGGATGTTAATGTTTCTTTACAAATATCTCAGCAGGTAGTCAAAGGTTTCAAGGGAATCTACAGTTCTATTTAAATGAGAATGTAATGAGTGTGTCAAAAAAAAGAAAAAAAAAAAAAGAAAAAAGCCAAACCTATGCTTATCTTTGTAAAGCACGAGCTTAAATGGTTAAACATAGAAATGTGAATTAGCATTTCACAGAAAATATTGTTTTAACCAACTGTCAAGACCTTGATTAGCCACCTTATTGCATCAAATGCAAGAGGTAATTTGGCAGTTCCTAATAACAACGATGACAAGGAACAATTAAGTGGATAAATATAGTTTATGGTGGGTATGCTTTTAGTAAACAAGCTTTGATTCTTCATTTAAAAACCATAAAGCGCTGGGCACTCTGATTCTTGTGCTAGATGTTTCTAATAGCCATACCCCCTAAGGAAGGTTTTGCTGTAATGTTTGAAAAACGTAATGAAAAATTGGTTGTTATAAACTAAGATTTCCCTCCCTGCAAATGTTTTTCTTGAAACATCCATGGGAATTTAATATTCACTGTTTTTTTTTCCTCAGTCTTGTATATTCTTGAATTGTCTTTTTTCCTCCATTTTCTCCGTTCTCAATCCTAGGTCCCCTTACAAAGAAACAGACAGATGATTTAGGTGATAATGACGGTGCTGAAGATGAAGGTATTTTTTTTGCCGCCAAACTGATTTGCATGACAAGGATCCCTGAAAATCTTTTTTCTCCCCTCTTTTTTTGACTTCTTGTCTTCTTTTGAAGAGTTTTTTTTTTATTCCCATTTTTGATGTGTTTTGTCTTCTTGCTTGTTGTTATACATATATATATTTTTAATTTTTTAAAAGAAAGAATGTTGTTAAGTTCTACGTTTTGATACAAAACAGTAACAATATTTAAAGAGGAGGGTTTTTTGTTTTCTTGAAATGGACTTTTGATATGTTGCATCCCACCTTTTGACTGAATTTTGTCCATACTATTTAAACTAACACTCTTTTAAAGTTTCTCTGTACACCTTTTTGCATGTTTTCTAACCCTATGTATTTCACCAAGTACAAAGATGTTTCTTTTTTCACTGACTGATCTCAGTTTGATAAACATATAAAATGTTGTGTTTATAAAAGGAAAAATACAGAAAATTCTTAGAAAGTGTCTCTTAAGCAACTGAATTTCCCCAAATACAAAGCGTTCTGCATTTACCTTGCCATGAATAAATATAAACAAATGCAAGACTACCCCACCTCCCTGTAGAAGAGAGGTAGCCCTGGAATGGCAGGCAATATTTGTAGTTGGTGAGGCTTTGTGCAGCACCGGTGAATTCAGTGGAGCTAAACTGATGTCATCTAAAGGAATCTGATTCTTTCTGTTTTCTACAAGCATACAAAGATGCCTATCTGCTTGTGCCACCCCTTAGAAAACTGTATTACCAAGTAAAATCAAAAGTTTGAAATGTCAAGCATATTATACTGTTTAAGAATTATGGCTGTTAATCATATAAGCTATGCAGATTTGATATTTTTTCAGGACTATGAAAATGGTAACACGGGGCTCTTTCTCCTGAGCAGTCTCATCCCTTCAAGTAGATGTGCTTCAAAATTCTGAATCTTAAACACATACTTTGTATATTTTATGGTCAATGAGTAAAACAAATTACCATATAAGACTGGTAGAGTTGCTACTTGCTTCTCTGTTAATATCTGGGGATTTTTTTTTGCCAGATACTAAGATGAAGCTTAACTTGTAAACTGCAAGGCTCTTAATTAAGAATTTTTTCATCACACAGAACATTAACTGTTTTACTCAAACAGAAACGTGCAGTCTTATCACAAAAGGCGAAGGAAGGCAAATATGAGCATTTAACTTCTTACCCAATAACTAAACAGAAACTTTATAAATAAACCCACAAATTTGTATGTGTTTGTTTTACAATCCTCTGCTGAATCTGTGTTAAGCATATGAATGAAAGCCCACCAGTTGGCCCAAGATTTGAAAGAACGACCTAATTGAAAATCTCCTTTGAAAGCTCTTATATTATTCAGAGCCAAGTATGATAATTCAGATCCACTTAGCTCTATGAAACCAAGTCTTTTTTACATTAGTTCATGACAGAATATTGCAAGGGACAGTCTTGTGTATTCTCCAAGACCTGTGACACTGAATTAGCCATTGTAAGAGTTACTCTGTCTTGTTTTAACAATATGGTTTAGGAAACCATTTGAAACCTGGGTTATTCATCCAGTGGACCTTAATGGCTCTCCTAAATTGCTGTATAATTGCCAAGACAGATGCTAATGGCTTAACGTTTTTTGAGTCCTTCTCTGCTTAGACACACTTAGAAGAGACTACTCAGTTTGCTAAAATTCAGCAGAGGGTGGTTGCCATCAGAAAGCAGCTCAGTATGTAGTATCAGATGAGAGTAGGGATCTCAGTCTTTGGAGAACGGGTGTCCATGTCAGACAACACCCGTCTCCCACATTGACAATTGTAGGAGAGAGAGAAAGGACTGCGAGAACACAGCAGTCAAACTAGAGGGGAAGAAACACATTTACAACACTAATAAATCTCTGTAATTTATAGGAGTGAGATTAATTTTCTCTGGCATACAAGTGACAATTTTGTTCTCCTTTCCATGCCAATAGAAGAATGCAGGCAGTAATTAGACTTTTACTGCTTCCGAGAGTCACAGAGAGACAGGGCAAATTTGAATTTTTATGATCAGTACACACTGAAGGCTGCTGGGATGTCTGCTGTGGCCCTGCACTTCACTGTCCCTCAGTGGAGGAGCAGTATCAGATGACCCACATTTTGTGAACCTGCGCTTCTGCACTGGAACTTTAGCACTTGTTACTTATGCAGAACTGAAGAGTTCACAAACTTTAAGTCATATGTATTTAGGTATGAGTAGCAGGAAAGAGAGAGGCAAAGCAAAAACCTACCTTAGCTGTCTAGCTTTCTGCTAACCTGTCCATCAAAGCCTTCACCTTTTGCAGTATGGTAGTTTTTACTCAATATAAAAAATCTACAAATGAATAACTGGGAATAAAATAAAACAAATAGCAAACTGAATGAATGATGAAGTTGGAATATTAGGGAGACTGGGTTATACACGATGAAAACCAACTGTGTCATGTAACCATAGAATCCATGCTACATTAATAATATACAGTGATTTCTAAAATGCCCAGGATGGTCCCTGTATTAAGAAATTTAGAGCTCCCATATCCATTCCTGAAGAAAGACCTTTCGCAGCAGCTTCTTGGATCAAATGCCTGGCAAATATTCTGTATTGTGTCACTCAAACATCAGAGTTTGATTAGAAGATTTCATTTTAAAACAGCGTTCAATAATCCTACTCCCATCTGCTGCTACATGTCACTACCACAGTATTGTGGTCCAAACCTTGCCAGCACAAGCAGTGGAATTGGTAATCAGGCTTGGATCTCTGGTATGTGCTGCAACCAGTAGACCAGGCTTAATTAGATCATTTTTCATTTTTGTTTTCAAAAGACCCAAAGGCAGTAGTGCACATTACCGGCTAATGATCTGCAAATTTGCTGTTTAAAAAATGAAGGTGTTTTCAAATTCTGTGAGTGTGAAAATCCAGAAATTATATAAATATCATCTTTCCCCAGTCTGGATGCATTCTTGTTTCCGTTTAACCCTTTCATGTCTACACTTGAAATTGCTTGCCTGTTTTTCAATAAGTATTGAACTACTTGAACAGGCACCAAAAAACAAGAGTGGCAAAAGCACCAGCAACCAGTGAGCATTGGGGCTTTCCCTTTTTATAGGAATGGTGAATTTGCCTATTTGCTGACATACAGGTAAGCAATATCTAGTGTAGACACAAGATGTAACTTTAAGTTGCTTAGCGGTTGAATAAACTGTACCTTCCCCAATCTAAAAACAAGGCTTAGTTTAAAAAAATAAAATATTTTCACCATAATATCTTAGCTCAGTCTTAATTCTGGTGAGGTAATAATTTAACTTGATTTAATTTAGCTATAGCAAAAACCAGTACCTCTTTATGCACCCTTAGTTCCTGTATGCTAAAATCCTTTGCATGAGTTAAAATATAGCAACACAAGTCATTAATCAGCCTACGTACTCGGGGATCGGAACTGGACTTCTAGGTAGTTAGTGCTGTATGAAATATCCATGAAGGATTGCTCACAAATGAATTCTTCTCATCCACCATTCTGTCATACCCACCTTACCTAGCACATCAATCTGTCAATCTTCGATGCTTATTTAGTCCCCAATGCTATCTGAGCATCTCTCAGTTTTTAATGTATTCAGTCTCACAGCATCCCTCTGTGATAGAGGAATGCTATTATTCCATTTTTAGAAATGATGAATACAGATGCTAAGTTTGAGGAATGCAGACACCATGTCCATAGTGAAGCAGGGAACTGAGAGTACATGCCTCAGAAGCGGGGTCTGCTCTGTAATTGCTAGGTGTTTCTACTCTTTCCTTCTCCATTCCAATCTCTCCTGTGAAAAAGGAGACAGATTAGGAACAGATGTTGCTGTTTGTTCACAGGCTGTAACTGTGATGATTCTGATCGTTTAGTCTGATGCTCTGTCTTATATGGGCTATTGGACTTCATTGACTGAGGGAAGTTCTTGGTCCAGAGCATGTTTTAAATCAAAACAAACACAAATCCACTCAAATTTTAAATTACTAATGATGCAGAATGCATCTGCAAAGCCCTTCTTGTGCTTAACAGACTGTAGCATCATTGGCGCAAAAGAGCACATTTCAGAACTGAGGATCTTCTCCAAAAACCCCTATCACTCCATTAGTATTAAAATAGACTAGGTTGCCAAGTTTAGCATGTCATCTGCTTTCAGCTGTCATGGTAAGAAACAGGGAGAGAAACAATCTTTCCGTCTGGCACTAGTTATACATTTTCGGACTTCGGAGATCAGTAAACAGCAGAACACATTTGTCTACCTCACAAAGCAACCACATGCTCCAGCCTTAATTATAGCCTTTAATGAGTTCCAGCCAGGCTGGAGTAGCACAGATCTTCCTGCTTTTGGTGAACTTGTTGACTGGTCACATAGACATATTCCTGTTCATCCTGTCACCCATTCACGTTATAGTTCTGTGATTCTGACTCCAAAGTACAGAGTCTAGTGTCACTTGCATATTAAATTTTTCCCTTTACGCTGAGAACCGAAGTTCAAATTATGTTGATTTTTTTGTGGTGGTAATATTAATACTTGAAAAGATGCATAATAAAAATTCTGACATACCTTTAATTTAAACACCTCTTTGGAGCTCCGTTATCCTTTTAGCACTGCCAGGCATTGCTTGTACAGTGAAGAGTCTGACAGCTTTTGCATTTCTAACCATCATCTTTTAATAATTTAAAATTACTACCTACCTGGCTATTGAGGTCCTACTCTAATGAGAATCCGCTCCAGCTGCTTACCTGTGAAAGCATAGGCCTTTTTTTATGTTAGAATATACATTCATATAGTCCTCGATCAGGATCTCAAATTACTTTCAGGTAAAGGTAGTTAAGTGTCTGAGAGTGCACAAAATGATCCATTGGTTTGACAGATACAAAAAACAAACAAAAAGGAGATAATTCTATTTGTCTGAAACTTGATGGGTGCAGGTTGTATTTTAAAACCTGAAATGTGTCTAGAACCTCGCTGCCGCTCCTAACAGAAGTTCAATAGTTACTTTAGTAGTCTCAGGACATCTAGTTTTATATCACGTGTTAAAAACATGGTACTAATGGATGTTTAAATATTAGCACTACTAAGTGCACTAGCTTATTAAAATAGTTGGTGCATCCATGAGGCATCTGATAGATTTGAACTGAAAGGTCAAATACTGTTAAAAGGCTTTGAAATGATTAAGAGTTGCACTGATTAGTACCATGCTCTACTTAAATATTTTAGGACCAAAGCTTATGGAAGAGCTACACATATCCATGTAACATTCTGTGTAAGGAACACGTAGGTTTTATAGTAACCACTCTAAAAGTTTTCCAGTGTTCTTGTGCTGTTTCGTGTTCAAACCCCAAGATTTACTTACTAGTCTACATCAAAATGTCACAATTTTTTATAGCATTTAGAAAAACACTGCTTGTGACATCTGTGCTAAACTAATTATATTTTTGTGCTAAGTTGTCTCCAGGTAGGCTTTCTTCCCTTCCCATTTTGGTTGTTCCCTGCAAATTATACTTGTTAAGTCATGTGGCCAATTCACATCAGCTTCAAATGACTGAAGCTATAATTATGTTTTGTTATATATGACTATTGTGACTGGTATTCACAGTCAGAGCCGGTTCCCTGTTGTGTGATGTAACAAACAGAATAAAAGACAGCCCTATTCCTAAATTGCCTATAATGTAATTAAGACCAGACATGAAAAGTAGATGCAACAAACACTAGAAAGGTACAGAAGAGAGGACATGATGGAAATCATAATAAGAAAGTTCACGTATATGTCATATAAATAAGATCATTCTCTGCTATACAGTAAGACCTGCTTAGATGTTTTATGAACTAGCAATTTAAAGCCAAACAAATCACAGCTCTCAACAGTTACCTTCTGTGTGAATGAAAACAGAAGAGTTGAATTTGAGGATTTTGAACAGCACTATCCCTGTATATGTCTTTGAAAATATTCACGTGTCTGCTTTTTAATAAATGCACACTTAATAAAATGCAACAAAAAGTTTGGTACACAATTAAAATAAATTGGTGTATAAACTTACACTTGGCAGAAATGCCACATTTGCACCCCAATTCTTCAGGTTCAGAATGAGCTACTTCCTCAAATAACTATTAATCTGTGTGAGAAAGCGTAACTACGGTTTACTGAGACTACTCCAGCAGATGCGCACAAAGGACTGATACCAGTCTGTAGGAAAAAGTGAAAGATGTATCAAATCATTTATGGTCAGGTTTTGAAAAGTATCTGAGTGCCAAAATGTCAATTATTTTCTTTGAGTTGGACACTGAAGTCCAATAAGCACTTTTGAAAAGTGCATCTTTCTGCCACTTTTGTACCAATACAGCATTTCTCCTTACAGAGTATTATCTCAATATTTCCTCCATGTTAATTTTAAAGGATGATAGTTTTATGGGGGAATATTTACTGTCTTTCAGGTAGGAATCAATTCTTGATTATGGTCTGATTTTTTGCTCTCTTCTTTTCATCTTATTGTTAAATAACATCCACCAGTTAATAACATCTGTACTTAAAAGTACTCTCCCAACTGAGTGTTTGTACCTTTCAGATATTCTTAGCTATAGTGTGCAATTGATATGAAACCACTGCCTGTAAGATCAAAATGCAGCGATCTCTCATCTTCACATGAAGCGCTACGTAGCTTCTATGTAACCTGTAGCTCAAAGTCCCAGTAGCCTCAGCTGAACACTGCTTCATCTCACAGATGTCCCAGTACTAGATTACTGCCTGAGACGCGCAGAATCACCATTGTTCTTTTGTAGAAGGGATTTCTCTTAAGACTGATGACTTTGACAAAGCAGCATGAGGAAAATTCATACTGCATGTCATCTGTTCTGACGTGGCACGTAGGCAGAGCTGAAAATTAGTCGTTCTTTATCGTCTGTAATCTTTACAAGAATATTAGTAGTAGGAAATAACAAAAGTCTGGTATAGACAGAATTTACTCAGAGAATCACGTCTTTATATGTCAAATTTTACTCATGAATGTGTGCTTCCTTTCTTGGATAAAGGACACCCATTCTTTTCTAAATATTCCAATATTATTTTCCAGATAAACAGGCCAGTACTACCAACATTTCATTACTGTTCACAGTTGGTGCTCTGTAATTCTATGTAATTTTAATTAAAGAAGAATTCTGAGACAGTCTCCCCCTGTGCTACCACCAAGCATACAATTAACTGTGTACAATTTCTGCTGGGAACAGTCACACAGTGATTTCAGATTAATAATTTATTATTGCTTCCATGTTAGTATCAAAAAAAAAAAAAAAAAGAAAGCATAGACTATGAACAAACCATCTACTGAAAACAGCATATGGATTTGAAAAGACTTTTTCCTTGGTGTAGATTTTAAACCTCGGGAGCTCATAATTCTAGCCTATGGACAATGAAGATAAATAATCTCCTTAGCTTTACGCACTGAAAATCACATGTTGGAAAGCCCTTACTATATGCTTGAGTGAAGAAAGCAACACAAGCAATTTCTTGCACAACCTTCATCATCCTTTTGGTCTTGAATAAATGATTGTTCTAGTACTTCCAATATTGAAGATCCAATTTCTGATCTTGACTGTTCTGGCATTTTCTTCAAGTTAGAATCAATATCAAAATAATAATAGCACATGGCTTTCTATAAACAGACACATCTGTGCTGATCTTTTTCAGCAAACTCAAAAAGCAGGGCTTTTAGTGTAACTGCCCTTACCTTTACAGTGCTTCAGAAACGACTCAATTCTACAGAGAGCCTACCTGAAAGCTGCTTACCTAAGATTCCTCCAAATCAAAGGAGTAAACAATACATCTGAGGTTTCTTCAAATGCTGAAGTGAGTAATCAGGGAAGTCACTTGAATACTGCCGTAATGACAAAAAATGTCTTCAAATCAGAATATGCAGTACAGTTCCCCATTGGGAAGTTTTCATGTGCTCTCCTGCTATTGTCTTTCCTGATTTTTAGGGACTATTATGGAATCTTATGACTGGGGCAGTGGAAAAGACTCGAATATCTAGTAAATGAGATCACAATACAATTCAATCCAAATGTAAAAGTTTAAATTTACATCTCAGGTGATTTCTTTCCTGTCCAACAGAAAAAAAAAAATCTTTAAAAAACATATATTATTCTACCATTAACTGTGGCTTTGAATTGGTACTTAAGAACAAGGAGCAGTGGTGTTCATTTTATTCTGAGTAGGTTCATTAATTTGCTAATAGGACTATTTTTGGGGGGAGGGGGGGGCACAGATACCCAAATCAATGTCTTCGTTAAAAAGAAATTCAAATCAATATGTCAATAGTTAATTTTGTTATCATTTGGTGTCACTTTTGAGAACCTTACAATTGGTTTGAATACAGCGTGGGGGTTTATAAGCAGTGTTCCAGGCAGCTATTTTTTCAAATAGACAGTCCTTTTCACAATTCAGTAAAATAAGAGGTACCCATGCACCTTAAACTTCAGGCTACCCAGGTTGCAAGCAATGGCCGTTTGATGTCTAAGTGTTAAACAGTTTCCAAGTACTTTTTGAGAACTTAGACTTCAGACCTATCAAAAGGCAGCTGTTTATACACACTTTTTATAAATTACTAATCTTAACTGTACTGGAAGCAATCAACAATTTACGTATGAGCAGAAATCTTGTTTATCTTAATACGGTGAATCACCTTTAGCTGAGTGAACAGAAAGATGGACTGAGTTTTCAGAAGTGTTCGCGCTTTGCCTAAATGAGCTCACGCTGGTGTTAGTAGACATTTTACGTCAAATTCAGCAGGAACAGAATTAGACCACTGTCCTATTGCATTTGCTCCTATTGAGCAAACGTGTTACCATTTTCGATTCCTTTCAGCTTTTCCGAGGCCAAGCGTCTCAAAAATATGAACTTTAGTTACAAGCAAGCCACAAAGAAACACTTACGTCCACCTGCCCATTTCCTTATGTAGAAGATGTTGCTTGAGAAACACTTCAAGAAAAATAACCTCACTAAAAAAAAAAATAAAATATTGCATGTATCTTTTTTTTGGTATTTTCTTGAGATAAAATGTGTCTTAATGTTTTTTCCAGACATTCGGGACAGTGGGGGACCTAAGCCTGTGATGGTGTATATTCACGGAGGGTCCTACATGGAAGGCACTGGAAATTTATATGATGGCAGTGTTCTAGCAAGTTATGGGAATGTGATAGTCATCACAGTCAACTATCGCCTTGGGGTACTTGGTAAGAAGCTTTCAGCTTTCCATTAATCCCTGCTATCTGCAATGCAATTCATGTTATACGTGAGAATGTGTTTAAAAAAACCCAAAAACCAACCAAACAAAAAAACCCAAGCAAAAGAACAACAACAAATTTTTTTATTTTCTTTGTCACATAAAAGGTTTGTATTCTGGGGATGTGATATAAAGACATTGCAAGCATTACCTGGAAGAACATGCTGTTGCGCTTTTAGTGGTATGAAACTGTTATTCCCATTGCTGAGCTGTTCAGACAGAAGAGGGTTGGTTTTTTTCTGTGAATAACAGTGATGCTTTACTTCATAGACAGGTAAATTAGATTTTTAAAAAAACGTTACGTCACAGACAATAGGGTTTTCTGTTGGAAGAAAGAGACTAAGTTTTGATTACCATGATTTTTTCATGCAGTGAAAAAGATAAGGAGGTTATGAAAATATTATTTAATAAGAGCTGTTCTTTTTACCTATTTGTTTTGAGCTTCATTGTGGTTTTGAAAAGTGTTATGGGTGTAATTCAAATGCTTCCAGTATTTCTTTTTATAGGCTAAATTAGAGAGCGAATAGAGTTACTTTTGATTGTTTCAAATGCAATGAACAGTATACGATGATGCTATTGGTAGACTTGTGCGATCTTCCTCTTTGTAGCTTGTATTTCTAAAAAATTATACTTTGTTATTTGTTCAGCGTAGTCACATTCATGATACGAGTTTGCTAGCTCTTGAGACAATGTGATTGTTGCGGTTTTTTCCTCCTGCATATTCTACCAAAACGTTGCACGCTAAGACTCCTGAAAGCAGGAGTTCAATCCTGGAATGTTGTGGAGGTCAGTACAGTCACTTTGGAACACTTACGTAGGTGTAAGGGTATTCCCTCTAACATCTGAAGTGGTGTGATAGGGCCGTGTCGTTCACAGCAGTGAGTTGGTTCTTAAGACTAATCAACTCTATTTTCAATTCGTGGGCATTAGTAACGTCTGCTACTCTGGTTTTGTTTTGTGTGGTCATTTTATTTCATCATTGCTCTGTGTTTTAAATTCAGCTAGCACGGTCCCCAGATTCATCGGTTCTGGTTTGCTCATCTGGGTAATTTTCTTCCAACAGTTTCGTTTTTGTTAAAAATTTGACATCTGAATACACTTTAATTTTGGGGGTAGGGAACGGACTTTGGCTTTAGATTTTGAAACTTAATCCACTGTGTTTGTGTTGTACAAGGGACTGAATCATTTCCAGAAGGATCGTAACTATTTTTTGCTGGGTTTATCTCCTTAGTATCCAGTTGGAGTTTTCATTTGTGATGTACTTCTTTAAGCCAGGAAATTCTGATATTTTGTATGTTTTTCTCCCTCTTCTTGTCTTCCAATTCATAAAGTGACTTCAAGTCATAGGTACGTATTAGTGCAGCAGTTAATAATCTGTGCCTCCAATCAACATTTTAGTTTTATACCAGTGCTCTTGCCTTTCATGTTTCAAACAACATTTGTCTATATTATACGCCGGTAGGGTATTCTGTCCAGTAATATGTATCTATTATCTGAAAGCACTGTTTATTTTTGTAAATTATTTAGTCTAATTCCTAAATCAGTTGTAGCGTTTGAAAGGACTAGTTGCCTGAAAGATGAAAATTAATTCACCTTCGTTGATGGTAATGGCTTTTCCACTTGTAATTTAACACTGATCCCTGAGGTAACCCACTGCTAACATCTTACTGAGCTTAGGAGAATTTCATTTGTGTTCGTGCTTTTGTGGTTCTTTGGACTTTGTGGTCTTTACAGAGCCTCAAGGGGCAGAGAGCTAATTTTCTTTTAAGTGGGACCTATTACAGTAAAAACTCTAAAACTCACAGTTGAATCCAGTGATTGGTATGAATGCTTGAAATTACTTTCAAACTAACTAAAATAACCCTGTAGGGTTATTGCAGGTTTTTCTTAGTAAAATAAATGCACCTGTTAACTATATGTAAAAGTCATTCATATACTTTGTATCTGGTACAGTGCCTGTCTGTCATGTATTAAATAAATAATGATGACATATGACTAAATAGGTAGCGTAGAAACACACTAGTAATCAAAATAGAAAATTTGCACAGTTTGCGTTTTTTTTTCTGCCTGCCTTTGTTTCCTGGTCTTAAGATAGCCTCAGAGTAAGACTTTTGCATTAACATAGTAGATACCAACTTTTACTTGTTTTGCTTTGATGAACTCTTGTTCACCAGTGTACAGCAGAATGTTACCCTCTGCAGTCATGTTAAATAAGATACGGTTTTACAAATACATAGCTGACAAATTCTCAGCTTCCTGTATTTGATGATATCCCATAAAGTGAGAGGTTCAGCTTCACTGTCCATTGCCTGTGGGACACCTAGATCTCACTTTACTGCTGTGTAAAATGCCTGGCCGTACAGGGAGAAGTAACATAGGGGTTTTTTGTTTTGTTTTGTTTTGTTTCCACGTGAGAAGATGTAGGGACAAAATAAGGTCTGTCTTCTCAGTTTCAGATGACCGTTATTGGTCTGGGTTTCTTGTATCAGTCTTTGTGGATATAAATATATTAATATAGACAATCTCTGTGAGGTCTAGGAGTTCTGCCATTGTTTCACCAAGATTCATGCTGTGACATTTCTTAATAAGGAAGCCAGTTAAATAAATGTTTAGAGCTGCAACAGCAGCATTTTCTTCCAGACCAATTAATGATGGGAAGGGAGGCTATGCTGTGATATTAGATTCCTTACAGTACTATTAAGTCCACAGTAGACAGCTTTTGGTGCAATTCAGATTATTTTTCTGTTTATTCTGAGTTGAAACATCCTTTATCTTATAGACTACTCTGCTCAAGGATGTGTGTTTAATGGAGATTCAAGATTTGCTTCTAAGTAAAATGTTAGAAATTGCTTAAAAGTGAAATCCATTTGGTAAAGAGAAAATAATGATAAAAATTAAAGAAGTATGGAGCAAGCAAACAAAACCACAGTGAGTTCCCTGGCCCAGTTTTGTTTTTGAAAGCAAGTCTGAGAATGAAATTCTGTTAGAATCTTTCCTTAGGTAAAGATAAGATGGAAAAGAGAACTGTTTGCCCTGGAAAATCAGGGACTACTGAATAAGAAGCCATTGGAAACAGACTATTTATGTCTCCTTTAGATTCTCTTTAAATGCAAGTCTTGCGCAAGCAATCTCATCTAGGGAGGAATACTGCGCAAGTAGTCTAACACCCTTGAAGGACAGCATAGGAGTAAGTGCAGATGTATTTTTATGGCTTGTTTTTAGGAAAGGACAGGTATGAAGACAAGTTTGGATTTTGTACTCAACTAAGTTGAGACTTCAAATGTTTATTTAACATACCCATCTGGTAAAAAGCAGGAGCTTTTTATTTAAATTTCATAAAAGAAACATAAAAGGATTATAAAAGGAGTCTATTTAACATCCAGAAAAGATCACGATAGACAGATTTAATGCTGCCAGTGCCGTTTTCTGTGTTCTTTCTTATGAAAGGTTTATTTAGAAAAGGAAAATGCTTTGCTTCAGCATTGGCTGCTACCCCTTTTGCTTTCAAGAGGGCAGAGAAAGTAGAGAGCTGGTTTACACTAACTGCGTACTTGTTTCTTTAGTTTATACTTCTTGCTCTTGATTATCTTTTAATCACAGGACTTCAACAGAACTGAAAGAAACATTTTTAATGCAGCTCACAAACTGAACTGGGGAATGGAAGAATGATTCACAGGAATCTCTAGGTTAAGCACTACTTTAAATTTCCTATTTTTTCCTCTTTAAGAGGCAGTGGTTTTCACTACAGAAACAGTAATTTGTCATTCCAAGGGTCTGGGTTAAAAGGTGGTAATAAAGAAAAAGGAAAAATTATATGTATCTTGTATTTTCCATTTGGCATTCTGAATAATGTCTGCATTGGGAAGGCAAACATTCTGTAACTGTAAGGCCACGATTTATGCCAAAATTGAAGCACACCCATAAGTGAGATTGTCTTGGTTATGCTTTCTTTAATTATAAGCAATTTTCCCTTTTGAGGAGGGTATAGGAACCGTTGCTGTCATTTAGTCTTATATTTATATTGTCACCCTTTAGTTGTGGGATATTGGCTGGGATTACTGAGTAGAAAACACCTATCCAGGTATTCTGCCACTTTGATTTTTTTGCCAGTTTGTACTTTTAATACTCAAAGTAAAGTCGCTGCGGCACACTGTTTGAAAGGCTTGACATCCTTATTCTTACTAGTACATTATTTTCCAAATAACTGCACTGAAATCGATGGGGCTCATAAGTACAGTGCTTCCCCTTGTGACAGAGCCGTTGCCCATAATTTGAAGTTATGCCATGAGAAAAAAGGGTACTGGCAAATTGCTACTAATGCACAGAGATTCTTCTGAGAATGGCTGCTCTTAGAAGGGGTCTGTTGTGTTTTCCAGCCCAAACCTCAATTTTTCAGTAGTGTGTTGCGTGAGCTGGCTGTGTTGGGCCGTAACATTCACGTAAAAGAAAACTCAGAACGGTGAAAGAAAATAGAACAAAGCAAAAATACTGTCTCAAAAGCCCTTTCCTACTTTTCTTAATGACTGTTAGAGCTTTATGGATGAGGTAGCAACAGAGGATGGGTCTTATTATCCCTTAACATGTTTTGTTGCTGTGTGTCAGAATACATTAGGAAAATACACTAGGTTTGAATGTACATATTGCTTCTATGCAGAATTATGCCAACCAGCAATATCTTACTGGCTAAAGAGGTGCGTGAAATATAAGGATACAGCCCTGCAGTAAGCGTTGAGCAATCTGTGCCAAGCCCAGCATTTCTGCCATTATCCATCTTTCTCTCAGCAAGACGCTGCACATTCCCAACAGGCAAAAAATAATGCACAACCTTTCCTTTATGAGTAAGTTTATGGACATGGGTTTGTTCCCGTTACTATAGTAATTCCAGAATGTAGCCTAGTGAACCCTTTCATGGGATGAAGAATTATTTAGTTGACCGTTTGCAGGACTGAA